CAGGCAGCAGCTGTGACAACTGAGCCGGGGGACCTTGGGCAAACCACTTCCCTTTTCTCAGCGTGTTTCCTGACCAGGAACATCGTGGTACAGTTATATCTCAGGCTTATAAGCTTTTATTTTAGTGGTAGCCCCTTCTCCAATCGAGGTCTTCACTGAACTATTCAAAAGCGGTCACAGAAGGCTGTCAAAAACAGGAGCAGGACTGGAGCTTCAGTGCCCCTGAGGGTCGAGAGCTCCCCAAACTCAGTCTGAGTCTCAGCGACCCTAGAGGGCAGAGTAGATCTGTCCCTCCAACTTCATGACAACTGGAAGCTGCATCTTTTACCTGTGGAACGCGGCCAGTAGGTTCGAACTGCTGACCTTGTGATTAGCAGCCCAATAAGGGGTCCTAGCCCATGATGACCTCAGGGGTCCAGGGACACAGTCTGAGAGCCAGCTGCTTCTCACTGGGCCTCCCCTGCCTAACTTTACTACTTGCCTTTGGCAGGGCGGCATGCTGGCCTTTCCTCTCCCCAGGGAGCCCAGGGATCTGAGCTCCCAAGTCCAGCAGCTCCCGGTGCCTTCTACCCAGCGCTGCCATCGGATCCTCTCACCCAGTGGTTCTCAACCATCCTAATGCCGCGACCCTTCCATACAGTTCATGTGGTGGTAACCCTCCCACCATAACATTATTTTCGTAGCTACTTCATCACTGTCATTTTGCTACTGTTATGAATCGGGAAGATCCCTGCGAAAGGGTCGTTCCACCCCCAAAGGGGTCGAGACCCACAGGTTGAGAACTGCTGCGTCTAACTCCTGGTCTCTGCAGCCCCGTCTGTCTTCCTCCTCCCTCCTCACAGTTCTGTGGGCCCCAGGAGACATGTGCGGACTCAGCCACCACCGTGTTAACCTCCACGAGGCACTTCAGGGCAAAGGGCTTTTAAATGCTTCAGCTCACAGACTACTTGCCCCCAACACCCCACCCGACACCCTGCCCCAACAGCCTGCGGGGCAGGTATTCAATTAGAATTTGACAAAAGAGGAAAGGGTCTTGGGGGTCGTGGGCAGCTTGGACATCCGCCAGAACTCAGCAGGAACAGTTCCTGGGCACCGGCCCAGACTCCACTCTCCCTCGCTTATCCTCTCCTGCTGGCCCTGCAGACAGGACATGGGAAAAGGAGGCAAGACGCCGATGAGGGAGGAAGGGAGGAGGGAAACTGTCCCCTCCTTGTCCTGGGGACCTGGCATGGTCCTTCTTCCCAGTTGACCAAGGAAGCAGGTCCTTCTCCACCCAGCCCTTCGGGTTTCAGTCAGCAAGGGGCACGCCACGACCAAGGGGCACAGTGGAGGAGGGCGGTGGCAAGTGGGGGGGGCCGGGTCCTCAGAAGCCAGCACTGCACAAACAAGTCTGGGCAGATGCCAGAGGCCAGGCAACTGACTGGGGTGGGTGTGGGGGGTTGGGGTTGTCCAAGGGCCTGCAGGGGGCCCTGTGTCCTCACTGGCTGACTTCAGTAGCGCCCCGCCTGGGAGGGACATGCAGTCCCCACTGGTTCTCACATAACAGGCACAGGCTGGGCAGGGCCCCTGCCCCCCCTCCCGGCGCCCTCCCAGCTGCCCTCAGCCAAGTCAACAACAGTTCCTCGAATTGTGTTACAGTGACGGCCCCCGCCGGCTCCAGAGCTCATCATATGAGCAGATGTGGGTCATGCAAACACAATCCCCTGAGCCCGACTCCACCCCGCCCTGTGAACCCCAGGATGCTCGGTTTGGCGTTCTGAAAGCAGAACTGGGGTGAGGATGGGTCCGGTCTGGAGGGACCAGTCTCTAGATTGGTCTGTTTGTACCAGGCTGCCCGAGTCCCCTGGGCAGCAGCTTGATCCATTCAGCGGTTGCTGGAGGCTGGCGTCAAAAACCAGGCCAGAGAGGTCTGTGGGGTGATGATAATGATCATTTTTAGTTTTACATAAAAGTACTTCCTTGTGTTAGCATCACTTTTGGTTAGACTCTGGGGCCCGGGGAAAGAGGTCCTTAGCCACCCACAAGGCAGCTGGAATAAGCCCTGCTCCACCTGGGCCTCCCTCCCGGTGGGCAGCGCATATGGGGTTGGTGTTTGGCAGCTTGCTGGCGGCCTGCCAGAAGTGACCTAGGCCTGTGGCCAGGGATTGGACTGGGTCTTCTGCCTCTCCTGGGAGTGGGGGCAGTGGCCCCGCTGTAGAGGGTCCCAGAGGAGGAGCACCCTTGGAACCTGTCCTCACTCAGGAGGCGCCGCCCCGGGGTGCTTTCCCTAGAAGGTCCCCAGACCCTGCTCAGTTCCACAGGAGAAGGGTCCCTGGCTGTGCATGTGGTGGAGACCTGCATAGCTGCCCCACGGTGACCCTGGGCCGGTGCGGGTGAGGGGGAGGAGTCCCAGAGGACAGCCACGAGAGGTTCTCAGGAGGTGGCTCCACTCAGGGCTGGGGGCCCTCCCTCCCTTCGGCAGTGCTCAGGCCCCATGGTTCCAGGCCTGGGACTGCTGCTCTCAGCACCGTGCAGGCAGGAGACACCTGCACAAATACTCCCAGAATGCCAACACAGCGGGGGGCTGCCAAAGACTGGGCTCTGAGAGGAGGTCCCTGGGAGCCAGGTCAGCGTGTGAGAGCCCAGGCAGCCACCAGAACCAGGCAAGGGTCCACTAGGGCAGTGGCGGACTCAAGTGAACACTTGGGGTGGCTCCCTGACAGCTTGAAGGGGTGAGCCCCACATCTGTCCCCAGGCCTCCACTTGCCCCAGCTCCTCCCAGAGAAAAGGAACAATTGGGCAGGGGGTGGAAAGCACCAAGAGGAACTGCCACCAGAGGTCCTGAAGCCCTGACCCTCCTGCCCTCACCAGCCTGGCCTCCTAGAAAACCAGGCGGACACCCTCCCCTAGGGAGGCGGTGCCACCCTCCCCTGGGCTTTTTTCCAACTGAACTCTGGGCGCCCTCCCATCCCCCCCACCCCGCCTGGCCTCCAGGTCCTAGAGTGGTGGTTCTCCGTCCCAAGCAGGTCCTGGAACCTCGGGTCTGGCCCTGAAGGTGGGCACCCTTTAAGTCTCTCATCAGTCTGGGGCTTCGGTACTTCTCTGGAGCAGTGCCCACCCCTTCCTCTCCCAGGCGACCGTGTGGCTCAGCTTGTCCAGCAGGTCGTCTGTTCCCACAGCCTCCCGAAGGCAGGTCCAAGCCTGGGAAGCGGAGACCTGAGCTCAAGGCAGGCCTGACTGCAAGTTCTGGGGCCTGGCCTTCACTTGCCCCCCTCCCGCTGGGGCCCCGCCGGCCTCTCCCGTCCCTCCAGAGCACCCCAGTCACCTTTGTGGTTCTAGTGGCTAGACAAGGAAGTGACATATAGCCAGGGCTCTGAGTTCATCTGTCTAGGGTGCCCTGGTGGGATGGTGGTCACGCTGCCTTCTGAAATGTCAGCAGTTCGAAGCCACCAGCCACTCTCAGGGAGAAAGACAAGGGCTTTCTACTCCTGTAAACAGTCCGGGAAAACGCAGAGGCAGGTCTACCCTGTCCTATAGGGCCAACCAACGCTGTGAGCTGGCATGGACTCGATGGCGCTTTGGTTTGTGTTTACACAATGTACCAGGACAGTGCTTCTGTGACAGCACCTCTCCTCCCCGGGTGCCCTGTTACTTCCATTGTGCAGGGGAGGCTACTGAGGCAGGAGGTTGAGGCATGCCCACGGTCAGCCAGCAAGTAAGGGCCAAGCAAGGAGTCCAGCCTGGACAGCTGGCCTTAAGGACCCACAGACGCCAACAAGCCAACGGCTGCCCTGCTGCCTGCAGGTGGATGCTGGCTGGGAGGGTACCTGCTTCAACCAGCCGTTAGAACAAGCAGCCCCCACACTAGCGCCATCTTTCTGATGTGACCTCCTTCCTTTTCTAGCCGCAGGCCCAGGTCTCCCACCCGTGCGCCCCCAGTGGGCTGTGAACTCCTGGAGCCCAGGGATCCTGGGTCACCTTTTCCTAATCCTCCTTGCAGGCTTCACACGTAACCTGCAGACATTCAGCAAGGTTCACAGTGACTTGCTTCTTCGAGACCCTCGAATACTGCTTGCTTTAAGCCGGTTTCCTGGTCTGGGAAATGGGCTGCTTCTCCATCGTTGCAGTCACGTGACACACAGTCTCATAGGGATCCTGACTTGCTCCAGAACAGTCGCTGTGCCAACAGTTTATTTACCAGCCAGGTGGCTGCAGGGCCTGTGCGCGCGCGTGCTCCGAGCACATGGGATGTTCTTTGTCCAGTGAAGCGGGTCCTCTACAGGCCCAGCAGCAGCATGTGGGGAGCTAGGCTGGCAGGTCGCCCTCTGGCAGCGTGGGTAGGCGAGTGGCAGTACTAGTTGAAGTCTCTTTTGCTGCAGTCTGTCCCACGCCTCCGGGCTCCCCCTCTTGTGCAGAGGGCAGGGTGCGGTGATAGGGGTTGGCCGGTAATGCCTATGCCAACTAACTGCAGCTAACAAGTGTCAGCTTGCTGCCCCGCCCCCTAGCTGGACCAGGGCAGGCTGAGGTGACTGGGGACAGGGCAGCCAATGAGCTCCCAGGCTGCGGTGGCACCACTGGGCAGCCCGCCTGTCTTTGGCTGGCGCGCCGGCAGGAGGGGCCTCGGCCAGCCAGTCAGGGCTGCCGGGCTGTCTCTGGGCGGCAGGCAGATCTGCCCATCCGTTCAAGGAAGCCCTGCTTGCTCGGGCTGCTACCATGTTACCTTCTCCGACCTGGGGCAGGGGAGGAAAAGAAACATCTCCCCTGTGAGTCCCCACCTGCACCCTGTGGGGTGGGGTTCTGCATCACCTTACAGCCAAGCTCCGATGGAGGGGGAGGGGCAGGGCAAGCAGAGGCTGGCAGTGGTGGTCAGGAATCCCTGTCCCCTCTGCCTGGAGGAAGCCAGCCCTGGAAGAACACCAGAGGCCAGTGACTTGTCACCCAAACCTCCTCTGGCCCAGCAGCAGGTGCTCGTGCACCCCCACTCCAGGCCCCCCTGCTCCACGCAGACCCACCACGGCCAGTCACATAATAAACATGTATTTATAGATGTACAATTGTAGAATTCTAATTCAAGAATTACAGCTTTTCAGGGGATCCGGTGGGATCTATGTTCTTATTGCACGTGGCTCAGCCCGTCTCGGGACGCTGACCCAGACTGGACGGTCGGGCCGGGGGCAGAGCGCCAAGGCCTCCGTGGGTGACACTCGAGCCCCTGTCCAGTTCTTATCTGCTCACAGGGCCAGGGTGGCTGCTGCAGCACAGGGCAGGACCTTGTTTAGAAAATACCGACTTGACATTTCCTCCCCAGCTTCCTTTCCCATCAAGAACCCTCATTTACTGGGGGAGGTAAAGGGGGGAAAACAGCCTAGAGAACTGAGAGGGGACGGCTGTCCCCTCCCGGCTGGCAGCTCGCGAGTAAGGCTTTAGAAGACGGCAGGCTCAGTGGCATTCCACCTGCCGGGCGAAGTTGGGATAACGTTAACTTCAAAAGGCCCCGTATCGATGGTGGGGAAACACAAAATGGCTCCCACTTCCCCTGGCAGCAACTGCTGTTTTGAGAAAAATCCTTATTTGAAGGCAAGATTAAGAAAACCATTCTGATCCAAGTACAGCCTTTGTCCAAAGGGCAAGAGAGGTGCAGGACACCAGATCCGTGGGGGCAAAGACCCCCTGGGTACCCCAGGCACTGCCTTTCTTCAGGAAGGAGGAGGGCCAAGGCCCAGGGTCTCGGGAGGATGCCCTCTGGGGCCCTTGGTACAGAGTGGGACAAACCAGTGGTCCCATGACTCTGTGCCTGGAGTACCTGTAAGGCAAAACCCACCGAGGACTGAGGGGGGCGGGGGAGAGGATATTGCCGGGCAGAACCTGGTCTCCCTCTCCCAAGCCTCCTGTGCTCTGCTGACAGGCTGGCCGGGCTCTTGGGAACCAGGCAAAGAGCCTACCTGAGCTTGTCCAAGGGGAGAGGCAGGCGGAGGCCGGTGGTCTCAGCCCAGGCAGGCCCTTCCTGCGGCCTCTACCAGGACCCAACTCTGACCCACTGGCTGCCTGCACTGCTGCCTTCCAGGCTTCTGCTTAATTTACACTGTCATGATTACTGCTGCCTCGGAGAGCAGGCCTGCCAGGGCTAGGGAGCCGTCGTGTGTGCCCAGACTTCTCCTGCGCTCTCCCCTATGGCTAAAGGAGGCTTTGAAGGACCAAGCTGCCTTTCCCAAAGAGGCCTCACTTTCACAACAGGAAAGCAATCTACTAAACAAGCAAATCCCTGCAGTTTTAAAAGTAGACTATACATATATATATCTTTTTATATATGTGTATTTACATATAAATAGATATATATATACATACACATGCATCTATAAATTACATTCTCAGCAAAGGTCCCTTCCTCGTCTCTATCTTGGCCAACGCCACCTCAGGCTGGCTTCTACCAGAGGTGACAGGGACTCCTGGGAGGGGGAAGGCAGACAGCGGGCACCCCTTCCCCCAGCCCAGCCCAGTCCAGCCCTTCCCTCCAATGACAATTGCCGCCAAGTTTTACATTCTACTTTCTGTTGCCATGGTTTCTGTGTCCTAGGAGAGCATGGAGCTGGGGCCCTGCCAGCCTTGGGAGGGAGGGCTGCAGCCTTGGTAGGCCTTCCTGGCTGTCCTAAAAGCAGCCTGCAGTTACTGGACGAGAGAGGGGCAGGTGTGCGGTGTTCGGCCTCCGATTCCACTTTAATTCTTTTTCTTTTTACGTTTTTCCTTAAATATACAGTGTATCACCTTGGCTCAGTGCATGTCACCAAACATTCTCCAGGGATTTCATAGTCTGGGGAGGAGAGGGAGACGGTTAGCCAACAGTTGCAGGGCCCTGTTTCAGCTCACACGGGCAGAACTGCTCCCGCCCTGCCCGCCCCAGCCCTCCTCCTGGAGTGCCAACATATGGCCCCCAGCATGGAGTCTGGGGTGAAGCTGCGCCCAGAGGGCTCAGGCAGGAGATGGGCAGGGTCCCAGGAAGGAGAAGAAACTTCTGGACTCTGCCCACACTCCTCTGGCCTTGGTCCCGGTTGACCCCTCTGGCAAACACTGGGAACCAAGCCCACCACCCACGTGGAGTGGGGAGGAGGTTGTTACCAGGCTACCAGAAACTTTAGTTTTTTTTCTCTCCCCAATGAACTGAGCAGCTTGGCATCAACTGTGAACTTGTAACCTTCTGTTCCCTTCCTCAGACCACAGGCAAAATGCTTGGGTGGGGGCGGACGCCTGTGGCTTCCAGGCTGCCAGGTGCTGCGGGCATGCAGTGCTCCAGCGCCACCAGAGGGGAAGCTGGCGGGCGCAGTGCCTCAGCATGGTTGGTTCCCACCCTGCCTAGTTCCCACTGCCTGGGCGGATGGAGGAAGTGGAAGGCTCTTGCCCAGCTGCTACCCCATGGTTCTCCCAGGTGTGGGCACTATCTTGGGTTCAGTAATATTTGGTGGCTTCAACAGCAGGGCACAGCCACTGATGACGTGAGGGACAGAGAGGAACCCTGAGGTCTCAGCCACAGCCATGGACCCCTCCTTCTGCCTGGCTCCTTGGCACCTGCAGCCTCAGTCAGGGAGGAGGGTGGGCGGGCTTGGGGACCACCAGAAGGCTGAACAATTTCCAAGTAGGCCTGGAGTTGCCCATCTCTGAGACTGGGGTCAGACTCGGGGCAAGGAGAGTCTGTGCCATGATCACCAGGCTTCCTCAACACTTCCCCACCCCCATCCCCACCCCCACCGAGCTGCCGGGCGCTGCAGGGCAGAGGAGGCCCGGACTCCTACTTGGCCCGTGGTGGTGTGGCTGGCCAGGACTATCCATGCAGGGAGGCCTGCACCTCTGACAGGCGGCTACAGCTCGGGGTGCCCATCTTCTGTGCTTTGTGGTACATATCTGTGTCGCCGAAGTATCGGGCCCGGTACAGCAAGCCTTCCTCTGCAAAGCAATGACGGAGGCAGGGTCAGACAGGCTGCTGGGAAGGCAGTGGGGAAAAGCGGGCCCAGGCCCAGGAGCCTAGGCAAAGCTGGTCTCCCATAAAGGAAGACCCTGGAGGGCAAAGACCAGTGTCTTCCAAAGTGGGTGATATCGCCCCCTGGGGCGTGCTGGGCCAATCCAGGGAGACTGCAAAACAGTTACCTGCACTTTATCTGTAGTATAAGCTTTAGTAGAAAAGTTTGTCATTCCTGGGTGGGTAGGTAAATGAGTGTTAAGGAATTGTTTTTTCTAACAAGGAGAGGCTGGGCCAATTAAGCCTGCGTGTCAGTGTGAGCTCGATCCCGGATGCCCAGGGGACCAGCTCCAGGCAGTCTGCACAGCCTCACTCACCTCAGGCAGCCCAAACGAGGGCAATCTGTGTGGACCTGGGAGACGGGGCTCCGGGGAAGTGCACGAGCGGATCCTGGGCCCACCACCGTCTGCGCAAGCCCCCTGCCCCCGCTCTGCAGGCCCTCCTCCTCCTCGCCACCCCACTCACTCTGCTGCTTCTCCTTCCAACAGTTGTTGCGGAGGTTGGCGATATAATCATCCTCCACGTTCCGTTCAACAGTTTTGAGGCTGGAGCCCGTGTACTCTTTGGAGAAAGTGTCAGCCACGTAGTAGACGACGCTCAGGTGGTCAGTGACTCGCCGATGGACGTGACCCACCGACCTGGCCAGGAGTAGAGCAGGCATACAGTGGGCCCAGGCCACACAGCAGTACATCCCACCTCGTTTAGAGCAGGAACACACCCAGGGCCTAGGGTGAGGGTCTGCAGAAAAGCTCAAGGGTCTCTCCTCTAGTCGGCTGAGACAATGGCAACCCTTCTCTCTGGCTCTCTGTAACCCAGACCGCTGACCCAGGGGGCTCAGGCTGGGAATCGGGGGGCAGAGGGGGGACAACGACTCGGGAGCATGTTTGGTTCTACATCTGACCAGCTGTGTCATATGAACTCATTTGTCCCCTAAGCCAACAGCTGCCGAGGCTGCCTGCCCATGCAGACTTCCAGGGCCTTCGGAACAAAAGGACAAGGAAGGTCTTTAGAAGTTGTATGCTCCCAGAACTTGGCTTTTACTGTCCAGTGCTGGTGGCAGGCACTGAGCCTCAGCACCAAGACACTCTGCTCACCCCAAAGAAACTATCACTGCCTCCTCGCTCTCCGTTCCTCTCCCCTGTGCAGCTGCAGAAAAAAGGGCTGGTGTCCGGTGACCAGCAGCCAGTAGAGGGTGGGGTGGGGCTAATGGACCAATCCTGCCCCCTGGTGGCTGAGAGTGATCCTGCCAAACCCAAACTCCCCAAACCCTGCCATCACCCCAGAGATCACACAAGAGGCTCCTACAGAGAGGAGCCAAGCAGGTGCTGGATATCAGGGAGGGGTCCACATGGGAGTCCTAAATCGGCAGATCACTTGCCTGAGTTCACTACTGAGTCGAGAGCATGTGTTCCCACAACAAACCTTCCGTTTTCTCAAGAGCCAGGTATTTCATGCATGACTTGTCATTAATTTTCACAAGCCAAGTCGTAGCTATTATTCGTGTTTGAGAGACAAAGAAACCAAGGCCCCGAGAAGCTAAGTCACTTGTCCAGAATCACACAGCCAGGGCCTATGTTGTAGTCTCGGACAGGGACTTCCAAGCCAGTCTTCTCTCAGGATCTGGGGGCTGGGGTATGGGGAAGCCAAGGAGTGTATGTGCGCACTGCTCTAGGGAAAGGGCCCGCAGTGTTTCCTGCATTTTCCTAGGGGATGACAATCCCAAAAGATTCAGACTCCTCCACTCAGCTGGGAAAGCATGCTTCCTGCGTTCAAATCACAAGCCTGCCGGATCAGGATTTGTGGCGAGGCCCCTCCCACGGGCTCCTGTCTACCCACCGCCCAGCCTACCCTCCGCTGTGGGTACTCACGGCCGCAGGCTCAGACTGTAGGGGGGACTGGAGACCATGAGCTGGCTGAGAGCTGACACGAGGATCAGGATGAGGATGGGCATCAGTTGGACAAACACCCCTAGGCCGCCCTGGAGGGAAGAGCCAACCATCACCCAGCCGGACCGAGCCCTGGCCAGACTGCCACCAGCTCCCCCAGTACTGTACCACCACCACATTCTCCCACCCCAAGCCGATCCCGTGACCACAGAAGCTCCTCCACCTGCCAGCTTCTCAGGAAAGAAACACAGAGGCAGCCCGCGTTCCCTGAAGGAAGGAAGGGGCACCCACACACAGTGACTGAGGGGAAACAGGGGCTGCCTCTAAGGGACAGGGTTGCATTCTGAGCCGTGAGAATACATGATGTTTTTAAATGTCCAAGGAGAATACTAGGAATTAAAATGCACACATGTATTCACTGTGTGGGAATTTGGGATTAAAGAAAATATTTTCTGTAGTTAGCATTTACAAATGAAAAAACAAACACAGAAGGCCACATTGCTGGAGCCTGTCTGCCTGCCTGTCAGTGTCCTACTACAGTGCCTAGCATGGCCATTCGGCCGGCTGCCTGGTGTCGGTGTGAGGTACGCAGAGGCGTGCGTGTGAAGCCCTGGCCTGTTAGTGCTTTCGTACACGCTTTTGACGCGTGCTGGAAAGCACGAGAATTAGTCCCTAGCTGCCGTCCTCTGCAGATCTCTCATGACGTTCACTTTCCATTGCTGTAGGTCCACCTGTTGGTTGGAAAACGTCACTCTGGCCCTATGAACGGGACTGTCTGCAGGTCCCCAAGGAGCCAGCAAGCTCCCACTCGCTCAGACACGTGGAGTGTGGCGCCCTCTGGTGTCCCTCAGCAGAAGGGCAAGGCGGCCAGATAGCTCCTTAGCTGAGGGCCAGAGGGCACTGCTGGTCCCAGGGCTGCCAGCGTGGCGCGTCACTCCCTCCCACAAACCTCCTCCTCACTCACGTCACCCTGGTTCTCCCTGCGCTCCTGCCTTTGCTGGTAGGTGTAGCGCATGCGGCCGTTGCTGTAGACATGGACGTTACCTGGGGGTCAGAGAGCCTAAATCAGGAGCTGGGAAGGGAGAGACAGGTGTCTGCCGCCAACCCCCACCCCCACCCCCTGCTGCCCTCCATCACCCAGTGGGGAGTGTGGGGGCACTTACTAGAGGGGAAGCCACCGCCAAAGAACATGTTGAACAGGTCTTCAGGAGAGATGTCGGCCTCAAAGGTGCGATGGAAGTCCCCGTGCCCATGGCCGTGCCGTGCCGCCTGGGTTTTGTCATCACCAAACTGGTCATATTGCTTCTTTTTCTCGGGGTTGCTAAGGACCGCATAAGCTGTGCCAATGGCTGGAAAGGAGGCGTTCCTTTAGGCCTGAGGCTGCCAGGGCTGCTCCCAGAACGGGCGGGCACTTGATCTGAGTACTCAGTGATGTAGGAAGCAGGATGCTGGGACCAGTGGGAAGCTAGCTGCCTTGGTGGTCAGGCGGGTACGGGGCGGGGGAATGCAGAAAGACCCCTCTGTGAGGCAGGCGGCCCCATCGGGGGACGCCAGCACCACGGCTCCTTGGGCTGGTCAAGCCTCTTCTGCGTGGAGGCCCCTCTGATGGCGCAGCTCAAGTACTCCCGAGAGCCAGCCTTCTCCATTTGCTGAGGCCAGGAATCCCAGCCCTCTGACGAAGGCAAGAAACCACCGCAGCCCTGTTTCTCTCCTCTCCTCTGAGATGCCCATGGGGCTGGGGGCAACCAATCAGGTGACACAGGGCAGAGACAGAGGTTCATGGAAACCAGAGAACATCCTGGTTCTCACCCTGGCAGCCGCACCTCTAGCTACTAGTCACGGCCTCTCCACGGTTGGTCATGTGTCCAGGCCCAGCTGGTACCCCTCTGCTTGACAGGGGCCTGTCCACCAGTGTGCACTACTGACCTCACCTCTGGCTCCTCCTCAGTCTTCTGGTCCTCCCCGCCACCCCCCCACCCCAGTTGCCCACCATCTCAGGTGGATTGGAACTATGGCCTTGCACAGAACCACTGCCTTCTCCCATCTGGACAAGTCCCGAAGGCCACACCTGCCCTCTCAAAGCCTGCCAGCACAAGGGCAGACTGCAGGCGGGGCCAGGGCTGGGGAAAGAAGCGTCGCTGTGGCTACCTTCCCTCTCCCATCCCCCTCTCCCTCAGGGCTGGCTACCAGGCACCCAGAATGGAGCTCTTGGGGAAGGGCCCTTGGAGACCACACACCAGGCAGTAGCCCCTGCCTCAGACTAGCCCCACGGGCCTGTGGCCCTGAGCCTGTCCTGCACAGTACACTGCTCAGCCAGGTGGGGGCTGCTCTCCCTTCAAGGCCCCAGGGGAACACAGGAGGGTGAGCAAAGGGAGAAGGGCCTGGGGAGAGGCTGGCTTCTAGCTGGGCAGCGAGGCCACACCTTCGTGGAAAGCCTTGCTGAGTCCAGCCACCCCAGAACCGTCAGGCCCAAGACCAGGGCTGCCACGCTCCTCCTGCAGCCTCAACTGGCTGAGCACGTGTGTGCGCTCAGGTTACGTGGGGAGGAGGGCAGGGGAGAAGCTGGTTGGGAGGCAACCTGGCCGCAGGGCCTGCCCTGGGGCTACCCTCAGCACAGGCTGCAAACAGGCGAAGCAGGGGCTGATTCTGGTCGTTACTGCTCAGCGGTGGGGACAGCCCATCGAGGAGGGACAGTCTGAGCTCACACAGAGCCTGCCCGGGGAATTTCTGCACCCCTGGGACCACTTCCTTCTGCTCCCCACTTCCTGAGGAAGCCGTCTTGGCCCAAAGACAAGACAGAGCCCTGGAGTGACTCACCTTTGAAAGCCTCTGTGGCCCCGGGCGCGTGGTTCTTGTCTGGGTGGAATTTGAGGGCCAGTTTGCGGTAGGCCTTTTTCAGGTCTTCATCCGAAGCCTCTCTGGTCACCCCCAGGATCTCGTAGTAGTCTTTACACTGCTTCACCCTGGACAGGGGAGGAGCGGGAGGGGGTCCTTCACCGGGGCCCAGAGGCCTGTCACAGGCAACGAGGGTAAGGACAGCACAGGGCACACACGCTGAGTGGCCGTGAGGGGCTGCAGGGCATTGCTGTCTGACCTGGGGGGTCCTACCACTACGGTGCAGAGCCCCAGGGGAACATCAAGGACACCTTCAGGGTCTCAGAAGGCAGCTGCTGTTTCACATGACTCCTGCCGCTGCCCACAGTGCCCTCCTGGATGACATCTGAGACAGAGTGCCAGTGTCTCAAGGGGGACTGGGACCCACGGGCTCCCTCTTTCTCTCCCCAGGCCATCTGACATCCAGCTTAAGGGTAACAGAGGCCAGAAATGGCAGGCACTGAACTGCCCAACCCCAGGACTCTGAAGAGGCTCCGGGCAAGCCTCATTTCCACCTCCTGGGCCTTTCCCAGGGCTCCCTAAGCCCCCTCTCGTCAGTTCCTATTGCCTTGGCGCAGAGGAGAGGAACACAGCGGGGCCCCAGCCATTGGGCGCAGGACAGCCAGAGGCCTGGGGCATGCTGGTGGCGCCCTCTCTGGAAGCCGCGGGCAGTGAGGATTACCCTGAGGAAGCTGGGTCTGCGACTTGCTGTTCCCTCAGGCCCCCCCACAACTTCAGGAGAGCTCTGCTCCTCCCCCACCCACCCACCCTGGCTCTGGACTGAAAGGGTCTTTGTTGGGGGGGGTGTGGCAGGACGAAGGCTCCATCTCCGGCTGACACACAGCACCGTGTCTGGAGGCAGAGCAGCCAGCAGGCCTCCGGATGTCCTCGTATCTGACACTGCACCCCAGAGTCTTATGGGAAACAAAGCATGCGCATGGGAACCCAGACCGCTTGGACCTCTTCTGTCTGCCGTGGTGGGCCCCCAAGTCCAGACGCATGCAGGCAGTGACAGATGGGCTGCCCCTCCCGGCTCCCTACCTTTTGACGGCGGTGACCTGTTCTGCAGTGTAGCCTTTGGTGCACTCTCCTCCGCCGGCCTCCCCGTTGGCAGAGGGAGCATCCGCCTCACTGACTTTCCTGTGGGGGGCCTGGGCCTGGGCCGTGTCCGTGGGCTGGGGCTTCTGGTTGAGGGACTCCATCAGAGCTGGGCAAGGAGAGGAAACGGTCAGGGCTCGGCTCCTGAAAGCCCCCGGCCACGATGCCGCCACCACTCCACTCCACTCTTGCACACACCACTAACCCTTCACACCTCTAACCCCCCAGCAGTGTGTGTGTGTGTGTGTGGGGGGGCAGCCCAAGCACGCTGCGTTCTGCTTCACAGCAGTGTCTGGTCCAGCAGGCACTGGCTGATGGGACGGCTGCGGAGGCCTCTGCTGAGCCAGGATGGGGAGCTGGGTATCCATCTGCCCCAGAGGGTGAGGGATGGAGTGAGGCTCAGGAAAAACCCGCTGGGTTCTGGCCTGCTATTTTTACATCTCAAAGATTGGCCACGTCCAAAAACTTGACAGGGGGAGCCGTCACTCTGGGCAGGGCCAGTTTTTCAGCTCCTAGGTTCCCGCTGGCTCCGGGAGGAAGGGCCCCCATCTCTGGCAGGAAGCCTCCTGCCTCCGTTTACTCCAGGCACAAAACCAGTGTTCATACATCTTTGGTCAGGCTTGGGGTGCAGTGCCCTGGGACAAAACCCAAAGCCCTTGCTTGGCAGGTTCCCAGGAAGCCAGGCCTCGGGGTCCCTGAAGGGACCCAGGGTGCCTCTGCTGAGGATGAAGACCCCTCGCACTTGTCCCCTGCTGAGCTCAAGGTCTGCCCTGGGGCCAGACACCTTCTCTTACACATCTGGGGTCTGGGTTTCACTCCAGAGGCCCGCGCCGAGCTCGCTGGGAGCAGAGCACAGGGCTCAGGGCATGACACTCCAGCAAGGAGCTGGGAGCTCAGCTCGCCCAGCAGAGGGAGGGAGGAAGGAAGCCCGGAAGGGCAAGTGCAGGAGAGGGGCAAGCATCAGGCGGCTTGTCCCTCCTGAGCGCCCACCAAGTATGTGAGCAGCCCGTCGGGCCTTCCCACAGGTGTGAGGCCCGGATTCTGCAGCCACCCCCATCATCAGGAGGGAGAAGCTGCATGGCCCCAGCTGTTCGGCTGGGATGTGGCCTCGCTGTCAGGTGAACCCCTGGAGGTGCAGCTCCAGGGCCCTGCCCTTCACTCTCTCTAGATCCTGGACCCCTCCTCTCGGCCTGGCCATTACAAGTACAAAAGGCAAGTTCAGATATTGTCAGGGTCCAACTTCAGCTCTGCTCCTTCTTGAGGTTGGCCTTGGCAACCTCCGCGTCCTCATGACACGACGGCGGATGAGGATGAAGTGAGGTCATTTACAGGTGCACTGAGCTGCTGATGCTGTAACTTGGCCTGGGTATGGGGTCTGCCGGCAGCAGGCTGTATGGGGGCGGACGAGCAGGGGTGCAGGTGGTGGTGGTGGTGGCGGGCAGGGGCGGGAGCCGGGGGCATCAAGGCTCAGGAAGTCACGACCTCCACACTGTACACCATGAGACTTCAGGCTGCCCCAACGGACAAGGAGCCAGGTGCAGTGAAGACGGAGAGGAGCCAGCGGAGCTGCTTGCTCTGTCTTTCCCACAAGTTGTCCGCTGCAGTTTCTCTGGAAGCCTAGTGGTTGCGGTTGCGCCTGGGATTCCCTAAGGACAACTGGACCAGCCACCCACTTGCCACAGGCATACAGGAGCCACAGGGGCTCACTCCAGAACCTTTCAGGGCAGATTCTGGAAGCGTCTCATTCAGTTACATGGAGTTTGCCACTTTAACATCCCTACTCTGTAAAGACTCCTAAGGCTATACACACCCCCTTTCCCTACACCGCAGAGAGACCCATGGATGTACCGGCACCAGAGGGTCCCTACAGGAGTTAGAAATGAGAGCCATCTGGTTGTTGGCATGCAGGTCTCTGCTGCAGCCACCAGGCCTGTGAGATGTGCTGACCTCACCCTGACTCTCGTGGCCAGGGACCAAGAGGCAATATGAAAAGAGTAGGTGATGTTCCTTCCTAGCTGTGTGACCTTTGGCAAGTTAGCTGCCATCTCTGAGCAGGTTCCCTGAGGTGTAAACCCCACTGCCTGATTGAGGAGACAGTGAGGGTATGCCAAAGCCGGTGTTCAACGCCGCTCTCGCTGTCATCTGTGTCCAGCGACAGGGGCTGTGCACACAGCAGCCCCAGCACCCAGGCATCTGACCACTGTTGCTGCTTGCCCAAAGCAGCCTAGGCGATCCCCGCCGCCAAGAGGGGCAGCTAGCTTTGCCATCTAACGCCCTGGCCAGGACACAGGGCTGGCTTTGATGCATGAGATCGAACACAGGTGTGAGCAGCAGGAAGGGCACAGGCTCATCCTTTCCAGGCCACCTGGTAGGGAGGAACTGTCGCACACGAGCCGGGGGCTGTAGCAGAAGAGGCTTGGCCTGGACACAGCGGCCGCTTGTCTCTGCAGGTGCTTCTCAGTAAGTAAGCCAAACTCAACACCACGCTCACTCGCTATCCAGTTGGTTCCAGCTCACAGTGACCCTATAGGGCGAGGCAGAACTGGCCCTGGGTTTCTGAGACGGTAACTGTGCCCCGGAACAGAAAGCCTCATCTGTCTCCTCAGAGCTGCCGGTGGTCTTTACCAGGGGCTTTCAATTAGCAGCCCGACGCAGAACCCCCTCAGCCGCCAGGGCTCCTCGTACAGCGAGCAGGTCTTGGGGAGTTCAATGAGCAATTACTACCGATTTCCTTTGTGGACACGGGCTGTGTAACTATAGAATACGCCTATTTAAAAAACAAAACAAACAAACAAGCAAGAGCGAAGGCTTACATGCTCTCCCCTAAAAGAAACAAAACAAAACAAAACCCAAAATCAACAAAGTCTCCGGATTCCTACTCCTTGGATCTAAATACTGGTCTGAGTTGGCGGAAAAATAAAACTGACATGCATTTGAAGTCTTCTGGGACATCGCATTCATTTCCAATGTGAAAAAGGAAAGAAAGTCATAAAAAGAAAGAGGGGCAGCCTGCGGAAGAGGCCGAGGCGGGGGGAGAGGGCAGCCTGGGCAGATGGTGAGCATTTCCACAGGCAATGCACGGGGCTTTGCTGTGCGCTCTGCCATGGGCCAGCAGAAGAACCCGGACAAGTGACTGGCTTCTCTTGGCATCACTGCACCTCCTTGTAAGGGTGGGGTCGACAGCTGCTGTCAAAGGGCTGAGGTGCCCAGGAGCACACATGGTGAACGGGTCAGACCTCTGAAAACTTGGCCACCCTCCTCCTCTCTCCCAGGTGCCTCAATCAGAGGAGGCTCTGTGGCATCCGGTTCAGAGGTGCAAGTGGGAAATGCTCCTGAAGCTATTGTCGGGGCAACCTGTGATTGACTGCACGCTCCCGGTGGGCCCCGGTGCTCAGAGGAAGCCAGAAAGGCGCCGCAGGGGGTGAGCCTGGGACTGGAGACAGGCAGTGCCCGCTCCTTTGATGACGAATGGGGGCCCTGTCGAGCGACACTACGCCCTGGTGGCGTAGTAATTACCACCTGCCACTCCTTGGGAGCAAGACTGCGCTTTCTACTCCCGTAACGAGTTTCGGTCTTGGAAACCCACAGGGGCAGTGCTACCCTTCCGGGAGTTGGCATCAACTCCACGGCAGTGAGTTTGGGTTGGCTTTGGCACCATCCACTATTTTGCCCACAGAACCCATTAATATTGCAACCTAAGGGTTGAACTTGTCCTTTGGTTCAGCTTGAGATGAAATGAGCGGAGCCTCCGCCCTCGCCAGTGCCAGACATCTCACTCTGAAACGATGCTGAGACTCCTCGCAGCCCGCTCCCCAACCCCTGCATGGCCTTCCCTCTCCCGCCTGCATGCCAGGGCCTACCATTTCATAAAATGTCAGGCAACCTCCCTTTGTACACTGGGGAAACAGGCTTGCAGAAATTCTTTGGAAAGCCTGGCCTCTCCTTTCATCATTCCTTGGCCTCAGGCAAAGCCAAAGGCTACCAGGTACAAAGTCTTGGATAGAAACTCCCAGAAAAGGGCTGACTGGCTCCACTCCTGTTCTGTGACCCCCCAGCAGAAAGCCTGGCTACTGGTCCCCCCAGCAACTGCCCCATCCTCATGCCTCCCCTTCTCCACGGAGAAGGCCACTTTGGGATGTTTCTCCACCCTTCCAGGCTGAGCCTCCCAGGGTGTCTGGCCCCGCCCGCTCGGTCCCTCCGCTTCTCTCCAGCCCGCCTTCCGCGCAGCCTCCTGATCTGCCTGCCCGCTTCTCTTCACTGCGCACGCGAGCTCTCTCCTATCCGTCGCGCCCTCTGGTCATCACTGTCCTCCCGTTTACCACATCTACCAGAAGCGTCCTCTAGGCTTCAGACTCCGTGGGTCAGTTGGTCACACTGCGGTGGCCGGAGTGTTGCTAGGGCACTAGAAACTGCTACCAGCACTTCAAATAGCAGCAGGCTCCTGCTGGCAGGGAAGCTTCCGTGGGGTGTGCAGACTCACACAGACTTGGGAGAAAGACCCGGGAATAATACCTCTCTGAGAATTCACCACTGAACCTCTCACGGATCTGCGTTTGACCCAGGGCCGGAAAGGTGCCCTGGTGACACATGATTTGGTTGCTAAGCAAAAGGTTGGTGGTCTGACCCCCCTCTCCCCCACCCCAGGCGCTCCTTGAGAGAAAACATGGCAGTCAGCGTCCATCAAACTTCCAGCCTTGGAAACCTTTACGGGTGGCTATGGGTTGAGGCCAACCTGACAGGAACCAGTTTGGTCTTTTTACAAACTGCAATGCTGGCAGAGAAGCCCTGAGATGGGAAGGCTATGTCTGAGAGCTGCTACGTTGGCGACATCCACAAGGGTGGAGGGCCAGCAGTGGGTCTTTGTTATACAGGGCCGGTTCAGTATTCTTTTCTCAGCCCACCGAGGTCTGGCTCACCCACTCACACAAGCCCTCCCTCTCCGCAGCTCCAACTCCTACAGCGTTCGCCACTGAGCCCATTCCAGCCCTACGGAGCCCAGTGCAACTGTCCTGGGTGTTTCCCAGATGGTAATCTTTCGATGGGGGTTCTGAACCATCAACCTTGCGGTGAGCAGCCCAATGCATCATCTACCACACCACCAGGCTGCCTGCCTACTTGTTGACAGTGTTTGGTGAGGGACAGCGATGACCCTACGCCTCACCTTGGTCCTTTCCCCTGTGGCTTTGTAACTCCTGTGGGTGCTGCCACGCCTCCTCGCCTCTCCTCCCCGGGCTGCTGGCCACGTTCATCTCTTCTTGCTCCGCCTCACCCTGTTGCCTCCATTGTCTAAGGTCCCACAGGTCTCCCTCGCTGATGGCAGCACTTCCGCCTGGAACCTGGAGCCCTCCTGAGCACTAGCCTGATAGCTCCTCGGGCCAGTCCCCCGGGCACTGCCAACCCTGCCCAGCTCACCCCACCCAGCTCACCCCACATCCTCTTCTTGCACTAGCTCAGCTCCCCACGCACAGAAACGCGTAGCACCTCCTGTCCATCCTTCCACACAGCCTGCCTCTCTCTCTCTCTCTAGTGCCCCACCTGGAGGGGCCTGCCTCCCTTTCACACCTACACTCTTCAGGCAGAGGGCCTGACGCCAATCAAAGCGGCAACGGGTCTCTAACTGCAGAATAACATAAAAAGGCTCTTATCCTGGTCAGCCCTCATCTGGAAAGTCCGGATTCTACTTTCCAGCCCTTACCCTCTCTATAAACGACCGCCCCCACTGCCTCCAAATCGCTCAGAACTTGCGGCCTGCTAGCTCTTCCAAGGATGCCCTTCGGCAAGTCTCGGGCGTCCTCCAAAGCCTGGTTGAAATGCTGCCTCTTACCCTACTCCCAGAGCCTCTTGCACTGCAATCGACCATCATTTCATGCCTTGCACACCCCCACCCCGGCCCTGCCTGCAATTTAACGCACAGAAAACTACTCCCAATCTCCTGGGGCGCCACCCTCACAGTCAGAGGCTGGGAGCCGAGGGCTGGCTTGTTCAGGCCCCTCCACAAGGCCTTGGCGTCAAGCACTGTGCTTCATTATGGTAGACACATCACTGTTAACATCACTGCCCTGAGATGTTATTATTTTCTGTAACTTTAGCTACTTCATTAGAACCTACACTCTTGGAGGCAAGGGATCACCTTTTACCTACTGTCTCTCTCCTGCGATCTCAGTCAGCACCAGAGGACTTTGTCAGTGACACAAAACCGCTCAACCAAAGTCTGCTGTACCGACGGGACATCCGGAATGAGCTCAAACGCACTGCATCCAGGGCGGACAACCACTTTAAGCATCATGTCCCAGGCCCAGGCCCAGACTGACTCCAGGCCCTTATCAGCAAAGAGCAAGGCTGCCGATTGTACAAGGTGAAGTTTACAGATCAAGGGACAAGGCACATATTCTTTCAGACAGCACAAAGACAGGCAATTGACACTTCCCCCCTGAACCCCAGGAAGGCTGATCCAAGCTCCTGGATCCACAGACGGACTCCCTCGGGCCATAGACAGCCAAATGAGACCACATTTTTCTCTGTGCCTATTCCTGGCCCCCAGCAGCTTCCGGCAGCCAGGCAGAATTCTGACAGCGGGAGGGCTCCCACCACCAGGCTCCTCTCCCACAGAACATGACTTGCTTCACATGGAAGCTTGTTGCGCAGGTTGCTTGGGAGTCCTGGCAGGTACACACTAAAAACATTCCCAAAAGGAGGGAATTAGGCCAAAGATCAACCTGCAGAGCCAGGAGGGAGGAAAGCTCCAACACTCCAGGCTGCTCATCTACTGCAGCGAGTGCTTTTCCTGCCATTGCTGGTTAAGGTGGGCAAGGAGGTGAGGAGACTGGCTGAGGCGCTTCAATTCCAGCTCATCAATTTAATACACAAAACCCAAGATCCACCCCACTGCCGTTCAGGTGACTCTGGTACACAGGGGCTCCTCTAGGGCAGAACAGCACTGCGCCTTCAAGTTTCTGAGATTGTCGATCTTTATGGGGACAGACAGCCTCACCCAGTGCCTAGCTCACAGTGCTGGGGTGGGGGCGGGGTCTTTGTGGAGTCACATAAGTTTCCAATTTCCAGCTGTGTCATCTTGGCCAGGAGGAGCCCTGGTGGCACTGTGGTTATGAGTTGGGCTGCTAATGGAAAGGTCAGCAGTTCAAACCACCCGGTTATGAGTTGGGCTGCTAATGGAAAGGTCAGCAGTTCAAACCACCCGTCGGAAGGATGAGGCTTTCCATTCCTGTAAAGTGAGTCTTGGTCTTCAGGACCCACAGGGACATTTTTACCCTGTCTTACAGGGTCGCCATGAGTCACCATCTATTCGATGGCAGTGAGATATTTTAAAATCATGGGCAAGTCCCTAGCTGCTGAAATGTCTCTTATGTATTGTACGCAGATAACCGCTTTTGCTCTGCCTTCTGAGAGGACCCAGAAGAAAACACATGTGAAAGAGCGTTCTAAACGGATAAGCCATGTGCCTATTATTGTTATTCATCGTCTCTGCGCCACCCTCTAACTTTCCATCAGAGGAAACCCACGCTCAGAAAGGCCACATGGTGAGTCGGGATAAGGAAGAGGGTCTTCTGCTCCGTTCCTCAGCTTACTCAGCAGTCATGGCAAGCACAAGACCCTCTCTCTTTGGGACACATTCTCTGGCCCCTCCGGCGTGTGTTAAGAAAACTGTCTTTATACACTCAGTTAAAGAAATGAAGAAACAACCCCTCCTCTCCTCTCCTCTCCCTGATTTGAAAGCTTGGAGTTCAAGGTCGCTAAGCAGCCTGGTGCTGTCCAGCCACCAAGGGACTCTCTGGCGGGCGCTGGAGAAGCTGGGCTGGGGTTGGCTGTGCCTAGCATCTCCAGCAAGGCCACCTGTGTGACATCTCACAATCTGGAGATGAGGTTCAAGGAAGAAGTGAGGGGCTGTTGGCAAGATGGACCTTTCTGGGTGGGTCGCGTGGGGCAGAACACCAGGTGTTGGTTTGGGGAGGTTGATTCCTGGGCCCCCGAAAGGAAGTGAAGGTGCTACCGAGGTGACTTCTCAGGTGAGGGGCGAGACGGTCAGGCGCCATCCTCTCCTTCTAAAGGCCACAATTCGCAATCACCAAGGAATTCCATTGCTAAGCCTGTCTCTGGATCAAGTTTGCACACAAGTGAGAAAGGTTGGGTACTATTTATATCTAAGCTGTTAGTCAAATGTTTTTCTTTGTACACAGTGAACCTTCTGAGAAATTACTTAAAAAAAAACAACAACCCCCAAACAGTCAAAAAACATCTTTCGCAAAATACAGTAATAAAATTTTGGTGCACACTAGCGCCGGTTATTACAAACCACTCTATGTGCCTCGAATTCTTCATCTAACACTCGCTGGGCGGTGGGGCGTTCATAACCCAGGGGCTGCCTGCATACGATTTCTCAGGCCGACAACTGGCCCTGGGCCATCAAATGGCTCTTTGGGAAACGTAGTTCTACTTCATGTCCATGAACCTTTCCTTGGCTCCCTTGCAAGGGCTTGGCATTCTCGGGGGCTTTAAATCCCAAGCAGTTCCGAAAGCACGCCAGAGCTGACGTGCTGAAGGCACTGCCGGCTGACGCCGTCAGGAAGTGTCCAGCATGCAGGAGAGACGTGGGAGAAAGACTACACCTCCCAGCAGCCATTGCGCGCCCCAGTGCGCAGGCGTAGCCGCGCCTCGCTCCCCCTCCCCTCCCCCTCCTCCAACTGCTCCCGTCGGTCCGTTCCCGTGTTCCCCTCATCAGTTCTAAAGCCGCCCTCGGCCGCTCCGGCCCCTCCCGCTCACCGCGGACCCGTGGCGTTGGGTACAGCCGCTGCGCCTTCTCCAGGAAGCGGAGCGCCCGGTCTGGCTGGCTGCTCTGGATGGCCTTGAGGGCGATGCTAATACAGCGCTCGGCTTCATCCTTGTTGGATTCCATGGCGGAACCAGAGCGCGGCGCCGGGGCGGGGAGGCCGGCCGAGCGAAGGGCTGCGCCAGCCGCCGGCGCGTCGCGGGGCAGGCGGGCGCGGGGTGATGACGAGGCCCCGCCCCGCCCTCCGAGAGGTCGGAGCGAGGGCGGAAGCGCTACCGTATGTCTCATAAGAGAGTGACGTATGGTTCACGTTCAAGGTGCACGTCGACGGGCCGGGAGCCCCGAGGCCCGGGATCGAGAAGGCTGAATGAGCATGCTTCCTTGTTCGCAGTGACCGCGCGCTTGAGATGAAAGACTTATTTATTCACTCAGATGCTTCTTGCGTATGCTGAGGGACCCGGAAGCGCCGGCTTAGCGCTGGACCGTGAACCAAAACATCCGCACTCGGCAACCCCATGGAGTGCGATGAGTCTGAATCCAGCGGTTGGTTTGAGTACATAGTGTGTGTAGAAAGTGAGTCAGATGGTTTGAATACGTTGTGTGTGTGTGGAGAGTCAGATGGTTTGAGTACATTGTGTGTGTGTGTGTGTGTGTGTGTGTGTAGAGAGAGTCAGATGGTTTGAATACGTTGTGTGTGTGTGGAGAGTCAGATGGTTTGAGTACATTGTGTGTGTGTGTGTGTG